TCTGTTCCCCCTCCTCAAAGTTCATTTCCGTAGCACCTTTCCCCCACTGATGCTAGTGACCCCCCTTTGTATGCTAATTACCCCTTTGTTCGAGGTGTTATCACATGTAGGTGTGTTCAGTTAAACACTGAGATTTTCAACATACTACTCTACAAAATGATTTTTTCATATTCTTTTGACAAACTATACTTGACTTTTTTACGGAAAATCATGACAAACTTTAATGTGACTTATTCTTAATTTTACCATACTAAAGTAAGACTTGAAAATACTATATCGTTGTTTTTTAAATTATATTTCAACATATAAAACAGAACTTTTGTTTGTGTTAGCATAACATTGACTGGCTTTTCCTTGATCATTTCAACATGAAATGAGTTTTATTTTTTATTTTATTTTTTAAATGATATTTTAATATAGCATATTGGCGGGGATAATATTTACGGGCCCTTTGAGTAGAATGTTAAAAAGTAAGCTAGTCCCAGACTGTAGGGCCCACTCCTTAGGTTGGCTCCACTTAGGTTAAATTACTTTAGTTAGAATGAGGACAGACTAATTAGATTGACAACAAAAGGGTCTGAGAGTCTCACAGTTTTGTCCTCCCAGCAGTGTAAAATAAATTTGATGCAGCAGTGAGTCATTGCAGTTCATTATGTGTTTGAATATATCAAAATGTTCTAAGAAATGTTTTAAAGCACCCAGGACTCTCATTTTTGCCAAGACATGACTTATTACACGATGCAAGTTTTAAAAGCTTTTGCCTGGAAGTAGCAGATTAAGTGATTTAATGGTGGAGCAGGATTGTTAAGAAACCCAATTCCTTACAAAAGTACTTTATATTCTACCAAGAAAACGAATTCCTTACAAAGTACTATTCTATCAGTTGTAAAGTATTGCACACTTCAAAGTGTATCTAAAAGTATCCTAGTAACACAAACAAAAGCAAGGGGAAAAAAAGCAAAAAATCAGTAAAGTCATCTAACAAAACATATATTTAAAAAAGTAATGTTAGTCAAGTCAAGTTATCAAAACGGTATTGTTTCATCGAAACAGTGTTAAAATCACAAACTCTCCATTTAGAGTTTGATTCTTTAAGAATCTCAATTCATTACAAATTAATGAATATTTTACCAGGTTATAAAGTTTTGCATCCATTAAAGTGTAACTATAAGTATCTTTGTAGGAGAAAAAACGAAAATCATTTAAGTTATTTCCATAAAACTGGATTGTTTTACTAAAATCCCAAAGTGCCTTTAAGAGTCACAGTCTTAAAGAAAATCTGTTCGTCTTAGTGGGGGTCCTTCATTTTGGATGATTTGCTAATTGGGGTGGGACTTATTGCGTTGAATGTCTGTATATTCAAAAATATAATGGAAAAAAAGGAGAGAAAAAAAAACCAAATATCACAGTATGTTGAAAAATATGAAAAAAAGTAATGTGTTAAAATAACATGAAAGAAATCAAAAGTAAAGCATCTAAAAACATATATTTAAAAAAAGTAATGTTAGTCAAGTCAAGTTATCAAAACTGCATTGTTTCATCGAAACAGTGTTAAAATCACAAACTCTCCATTTAGAGTTTGCTTCTTGAAGAAAACTCAATTCATTACAAATGAATGAATATTTTACCAAGTTATAAAGTTTTCCATACATAAACGTGTATCTTACAGTTCCTTTGTGAGAGAATTACGCACAAATCTGTCATATCAAAAACATTCTATTGCAGTATTTTATCTGTTTTATGTGCACTGTTGGAGGAGCCTGTGACCTATGTTTTTCATTGACATATCTACACTGTAGCTAATGGGCATATGCCATAAAGCCTTGAAACTTGAAAACTTAAAATGATCAGAAACTGCATTGTCTCACTAAAAACAGCTCTAAAGAAAACCCCATTCCATACAAGGTACTTACTTTCTACCAGTTGTAAAGTGTTGCTCACTTCAAAAGTGTATCTAAAAAGTATCTTAGTAACAAAAACAAAAGCATTAATGTTAACAACGCCTCAAAGGGCGGACTCCTGAGTTCCGTAATGCCCCCATACCATGGCACTTGGACTATTTACATCATCCAGGGCTCAACACCAGTAAATACACCTCTCTTTATCCGCTCTCCAAGCCTCCAAGGGCGGACTCCTGAGTTCCGTAATGTTCCCCTAACATGACACTTAGATTATTTTCATCAACCAGGGCTCAACACCAGTAAATGTAGCCTCATGTAACTTCATATAGGGATTCATTAATAGTTGTGTGAAGTACCTGTATGGGTTGATTGCGCGTTGATCTGTTGGTAATGCCTCGGGGTTCCGGTGGGCATGTAAAACAAAATGCATAATGCTGTGCTATACTTTGTGGCCTCACCCCGTTGCATAGTGACGCTTATTGTTTAGGTGTCTTTTAATAAGCAGGTAGTCATATCATTAGCTAGAACTAGCTAGATCTGATCGATATGGACATAAACGCTAGTAAAGTCTAATCTGACGGGAGAGACCCGGTGCTGCGGACTATTCGACATGCATCTCTGCATGCGGTGAGCGGAACAAAACACACTCTTCAGATATCACACGTAGCTATTTTAATTACCTCTCAAACTACCTAAACTAGTTATAGATATGTTTTAGTTTTACTGTCGAGTCACTCATTATTGGACCCGCGAGCTGCATGATACTGGCGTGTTGTCAGGAGAGGGGGGAGAGCGCCCCGTTTATTATTCCCGTGTTATTGTAAATTACTGTACACGTTTGAATAGTTAATTAATCTACTATAATTAGTTTGTTTAATATCGAATCATATCAATTTGTTTCAAAAGCTCAATAAATAACACAGAAGACCTTTGACCGGCACTTTTCTAATTTTGTCCGTAAGATTTAAAATGTAACGGACCTGCTGACCGGACAGGAGGGGGGAGGAGGAGGGGGGTGGGTTGAGAGGGGTGGGGGCTGAGAGGGGTGGGGGCTGAGAGGGGGTGGGGGCTGAGAGGGGTGGGGGCTACGGGGAGGATATAACACCTGTATGTGAGGGGGAGGGGGGGTGGTCTGAGATGGGTGGGGGCTACCGGGAGGATGTAACACCTGTACGCGATAACATCTCGAACAAAGGGGCTCATTAGCATATCAAAGGGGGCTCATTAGCATAATTAGGGGGCGGGACTTAGAAGGTGTGACCTGTCACTTTTTTATGCATACTAATGAGATTGAAGCGGGATTGGTAATACTACTAGTGTCATCTCAATGACATGTAATGTAGAGTTTGTACTGTGCAAACAGTGAAAGATAACAAACATTGTACTTGAATTAAAAATAGTGAATGGCTTTTAAAGGCTTCTCAGAACCCGATGAAGCATCTTTCTAGCTTTTCCATGTGAAAATGAGAAATAAATATCAAGAGTTGGTCATTGTTTAATACATTGTTTGGAGCCGCATTGCCCCTGTTACATTACTGTACATGTTACTTGTTAGACGCTTTTATCCACAGCGATTTACATACTCAATACTGTGGACAATCCTCACAGGAGCAATTTGGGGTGAAGTGTGTCAGGGACACAACGACATGCTGACTGCAGTGGGGTTTGAACCTGTGACCCCCTGATCCCAACACCTACGGACAACCCACTACGCCACACGCCCCCGTTACCCCCGTTACCCCCGTTACAGTATATGCATTTATATTGGATGCACAAGTCTTCCCAGAATGTTTTTGTATCGTGTCCATAAAGAAACGATTGAACAGCCTTGTGTTTCACAAATAGCGTGTGTTTCCTGTTTGATATGTTTTCTAAGATACATCAGCATCCTCTCGCTGTCCAGCAGCCACAATCGTAAAGAGGAAAACAAGTTTTTAGTTGAATAGAAAGGTAAGTTGCTTATCCCTTTTAGTGACTACCTTCTGCTCCTGGCAACCCAGCTTTAGCAGTAGCTAATATATGTTTTGGGGCCTTTGCTCTGCCTGTGTGGAAAACCATAGATATTCCAGGCTTAAGAAAGTAATTCAAAAAAGGTTTCACTTCACAGGGCCTTATCCAATTCTACAAATCTAATTTTTGTGGTCATGACTTGAAAGTATAGAGCTTCAAAACTGTGACTGCACAGAAATACAGGATTATGTTACCAGAAATAAACAATATACATACTATATGTGTAGCCTGCACTGTGTCTGAAAGCTCAGACTCTTGCGTCCTCACTTACATTCTCCTTTTATGATCATGTTAAAACTCCTTGCTTGTTGTCTGACACTGCTATGCTGTCTAATCTAACAGCCCACGAGTGACTTCCCTTCATAACAACAGCTTCCCGTGTTAGCCTCTCATGCATTTCATTATAAAAAGATCTACCTACATAATGATTTCAGAACAAGGCATGTTGCAGGGTTAACCAATACAATACAGATTGTTCAGTTCATTTAGACAAAAGGCAAAACATAAAAATGAGTCTTGAGACATTCTGATATTTCCTTTTGCATTTGTCCTATCCAAATGCATTCAAATCTATAACAGGTATGCATCATCATTATTTAATGTTTATGAAGTACAGTTTGTTTTTTCCCTCATTTATGTTGATCATTACATTACATTGCATTTAGCTGAAGCTTTTATCCAAAGCGATTTACAATAAGTGCATTCGACCAAGATACAAACTAGAAGAAAACAGAATCATATAAGTACATCAGGTTTCATAGAGACAAAACATTTTAAGTGCTTCTCAACTAGCTTTAGATAAGCCAGTCCTTAGTTACTATGTAAGTGCTTTGTTAGTCATTCTATCGCTCGAAAGTGGAGTCGAAAGAGATGAGTTTTCAGTCTGCGCCGGAAGATGTGTAAGCTTTCTGCTGTCCTGATGTCAATGGGGAGAATCATATTTTGACCATCTTTTTTTTCTGAAATACTTTTTTGCATTTGCCATGCCACTGTCCTAACGTATCTGTGTTACTGGTACACACGACGATGCAGCTCATTGTTTGTGACTTGCTTTGAGTATCTGATTCAACAGATTTCCTGACTGCAGCGATGGAGAGCAACATGTGGATCTTTGCCACACTGGGTCTACTCCTTGGCTGGATGATGCCTTTTGACTCGGTGAGTTGAGCATGTGGAAGTGGGTGTTTTAAAGATCAAGTTCATATATGTATAAAACATCTCACCAGTGAAACTAGAAAAGTGTGTTCTTTGGAAGCCTGGGAAAAACTTGATTTATACTTTTTGAATAATCCTTTTTATGCGATCTGGTTGGGACAAATGGTCATTATCAGAACCTGCATTTAGCATCAAAGAATTTGTTGCATGAGTATAATTGGTCTCCTTTTTTCAAATGTATTCTTAAGGAACTACTATGAGTGTGTACAGGTGCTATAGTGGCAGTGTTACTAGGATACCATAATTTACTAAGTGATGCATTTTAGTTTACTCTCAATCTTACTCTCAAGCCTCAAGCCTGCTCCCAATCGTAACTCATTTGACAACTTTCACCATCTAAATAAGGTTCTAAAAGAGACACTGTTATACAGTACAGTTTTAACAGTGCTGGTTTAATTATGTTTGTTTTCATCTTTCTCTTTGTTTTGTTTTAGGGGATCCCATTGAGCATGGTTGAAGATTCAGTTGATGACATGTATTTTGGCTGCAATGACAAAATGATGACAAAAGTGAAGGACAGATTCCTTGAAGAAGAAAAATCTGTGAACAATTTTGGAGAACACTGGAGTGCGGGAGAATCTTGTGCAAAAGATACATTTGACAAGAGAGAGGATAAGGCTCTAACCAGAGATCACATTAGGGCAATCTGTGTTTACATAGCTAACGATGTGTACGGGGACTTTAATACTGCAGTCCGGACAGAAGGGAGAATCTATCCCCTTCCCTTCCATTTCAAATACCGCTCTTTACATTACCTGCTGACATCTGCCATACAGATCTTGAATAACAACGACTACTGTCACTCTACTTTCAGACGAACCAACGTTTTATTTACTGGCAAAGTCAACCAAATAATTCGGTTTGGCTCCTTTACCTCAACATCTTTCAGATCAGACTTGAAGGTCTACGGTACTAAGACCTGCTTCAAAATTAAGACCTGTTTAGGCGCATCTCTGAAAAAATATTCAGCCATTCCTACAGAGGAAGAGGTTCTCATCCCTCCCTATGAGACATTCAAGATAACTAAGATAGGTCAAAGGGTCAAAGGTCTGGAGGATTGTGAAGTTGTCTTTGTCTTGGAGAGTGCAGGGGTCATGAGCTCTCTGAACTGCAATGCTGTGCGTTTGAAATGAAGCTGTATTGCTCCAACAAATGGAAAATACCATGTCCATCTTTAAACCTTCTATAGCTTGTCATAAATGAATTAGTTACACGGTGTTAAACATGGCTTAATTTTCTCTACGCTGGTTAATTTTAATGCTCAGGCTTTGATCAATCATTGTGAACTTGTTTAATCAAATGCTCCAACAACGTGGTATATTTTCTGTGTCCAATTACAAAGAGATGTTTTAGATCTGTGTTGTTGAAATTGTTAAAAAGAAAATAACTGCTTCTGCTTAATACTAGTCATTAAACTGCTAAATGCAATAATGTGGCTTGTCTGTTCTTATTTTTCAGTGTCGTGTTTTATTCAAATGTTTACTCTAACATTTACAAATAAATTCAAATAAATGGTATTGCATTGTACGCATTTCCTGCATATACAACTCCATATTTCCATGGTTTCTTATTCTATCTTGGTCAATTGTAATCTCAACAACAGCTCATCAACACTTTACCCTCTTTAGTCAAATCATGTACGCATATGAATTTGTTTTGCATGCCAGCAAAATACTCAGATATTATTTGGTTACTGATCATCAGGTGATACAGGTGTTTTGTGAGTACTGATATTAAAGCTGGAGTTTCTGCAGTGTACAGAATCAACTGCAAGAAACTCAGACCACGAGGAGGTTAGTGTTTTCAAATGTGTACACTTTACCTTTCAAGTTAATATCTAAAACAATGTATGAATTAGATTAACATTTTACGTTAGTTGGTTAAAATAGGTTACCGGAGTTGCTGGCTTGATTTTGTGGATCATTTTGTAACACTTCCTATGTGCGTAAGAACAGGTATCACACTGATATTCAAATTACATTTTACACTTTATTGTTTTAGTATTTCTAAGGAAATGATCAAACATTACACTCTTAGTGGTCATCAGGTAACCACACGCCCCCGTTACCCCCGTTACCCCCGTTAAAGTATATGCATTTATATTGGATGCACAAGTCTTCCCAGAATGTTATTGTATCGTGTCCATAAAGAAACGATTGAACAGCCTTGTGTTTCACAAATAGCGTGTGTTTCCTGTTTGATATGTTTTCTAAGATACATCAGCGTCCTCTCGCTGTCCAGCAGCCACAATCGTAAAGAGGAAAACAAGTTTTTAGTTGAATAGAAAGGTAAGTTGCTTATCCCTTTTAGTGACTACCTTCTGCTCCTGGCAACCCAGCTTTAGCAGTAGCTAATATATGTTTTGGGGCCTTTGCTCTGCCTGTGTGGAAAACCATAGATATTCCAGGCTTAAGAAAGTAATTCAAAAAAGGTTTCACTTCACAGGGCCTTATCCAATTCTACAAATCTAATTGTTGTGGTCATGACTTGAAAGTATAGAGCTTCAAAACTGTGACTGCACAGAAATACAGGATTATGTTACCAGAAATAAACAATATACATACTATATGTGTAGCCTGCACTGTGTCTGAAAGCTCAGACTCTTGCGTCCTCACTTACATTCTCCTTTTATGATCATGTTAAAACTCCTTGCTTGTTGTCTGACACTGCTATGCTGTCTAATCTAACAGCCCACGAGTGACTTCCCTTCATAACAACAGCTTCCCGTGTTAGCCTCTCATGCATTTCATTATAAAAAGATCTACCTACATAATGATTTCAGAACAAGGCATGTTGCAGGGTTAACCAATACAATACAGATTGTTCAGTTCATTTAGACAATGTTGTGTCCCGTCAAAAGTGTTGAGTCTAGTCATGTTTCATGTTCTTGTTTAGTACATTTTTATATTGTCTCCCACTTCCTGTTTTGTTTTGACACTCACCTGTTACGTTTCATTCCAGGTTCCTTGACTCCCTACCCTTGTGTGTGTCTCCCGCTCTCATCAGCGCCAGCCCCGCCCCTGATTGTTTCCACCTGTGCCAGTTACCTCTTGTTTAAATTCCCCAGTCTCCCCTTGTTTTGTTTTGTGTTGTCAGGCAGTGGCTCAGTCAGTAGGGGCTTGACCAGGGGTGGGCATTTTACGGCCCGCGGGCCACATCCGGCCCGTTGGCCGGCCTTGGCCGGCCCGTGTGAGGTTGATCATAAATTATAACATAATGAAAAAAAACAGCAACCTTTTCAAAATAAAAGCAACACAGCTGTATTGCTTGCATGGCGTAAATACTTTTCTAACTGTGTTGCTTTTATTTTGAAAAGGAAGCTGCTGTTTTTTTTATTTATTTACGTAAACGCGCATGCCGTGAACAGCTACGAGTGATGCTGGCCGGCTAGTCCTCGAAATGTCCGCTAAGGGCAAAAAAAGAAAGATCGATACTGAATGCCGCGTTTCAACAAGACATGGACCGCTAAGTATTTATTTACAGAAGTGAAAGGTAAAGCTGTGTGTTTAGTTTGTGGTGCGCAGGTCGCTGTGTTCAAGGAGTACAATTTGAGTCGCCACTATGCTACCAAACACGCAGATAAATACAAGAACCTGTCTGAGGAAGAGCAGGCAAAGGGGTCGGATGCTTTGCTAGCTAAGCTGCAAAGCCAACAACACATTTTCACAAAACATTCCACATCCAGAGATGCAGCTGTCAAGACGAGTTATGTCTTAAAAGTAAACCGTTTTCGGACGGAGAGTTCATTAAGGAGTGTTTGAAAGTGCCGCTCTCCCGACGCACTGTTACGAGGAGAATTGAGGACATCGCGGGAAATCTGGAGCTTCAGCTGCAGAACAGAGCGGTCAACTTTGACTTTTTTTCCTTGGCTTTGGATGAGAGCTGCGATGTACGTGACACTGCCCAGCTACTCATCTTCCTACGTGGGATAACTACAGACTTCAAAATCACGGAGGAGCTGGCAGCCATGCAGTCAATGAAAGGTACAACAACAGGGAGTGATTTGTTCACGGAGGTAAATGCATGTGTGGAAAAGTTGGGACTGAAATGGGACAAGCTGGCAGGCGTGACAACGGATGGTTGTCCAAATCTGACAGGGAAAAATGTTGGACTATTGAAGAGAATGCAGGATAAAGTGACAGAAATTAACCCTGAGCAGAAATTGGTATTTTTGCATTGTATTATACATCAGGAAGTTTTGTGTAAGTCAGTGTTAAAAATTAACCATGTTGTTGATGTTGTAACTAAAATAGTTAACTTCATCAGGGCAAGAGCATTGAATCACAGACAGTTTGTTGCACTTTTGGAGGAAAGTGAGACTGAACATCGTGACATACCCTACCATGCAGCTGTCAGGTGGCTCAGCCTGGGCAAAGTGCTGAAAAGAGTATGGGACCTGAGAGAAGAGATTCAAGACTTCTGTGTGAAGAAAGGAAACGACATCCCAGAGCTTTCAGATGCAGACTGGATGGCAGACCTTGGTTTTGCTGTAGATGTGACTGCACTAATGAGTGAACTAAATGTCAAACTGCAAGGCAAGGGCCTTTTTGTGCATGACATGTACAGTGCAGTGAAGGCTTTCATGAGAAAGCTGCAGCTTCTCTCAAGCCAAATGGAGGACAACATTCTCACGCACTTGCCAACACTGAAGGAAGCCACACCATCAGCTGATCACCTCCAGAGGTACTCATCCATGTTAGAAGCACTGCATGGTGAGTTTTCAAGGCGATTTAAAGACTTCAAAACAGTTGAGAATGAAATGAACATGATCTTTTCCCCATTTACATGCCATGTGGATGATGCACCCAGTGATGTTCAGCTTGAACTCATTGACCTGCAGTCTGACACACTTCTGTCAGAGCACTTTAGGTCAGTCTCACTGCCTGAGTTTTACTCTTCCCTGAAAGAGGAGAACTTTCCACACATCAGGAGACATGCTCAGAAGATGATGGTCCTCTTTGGATCTACCTACATATGTGAACAGACATTCTCAGTGATGAAATTCAACAAATCCAGATACAGATCCTCTATCACTGATGATCACCTCTCAGCTGTCCTTCGCATATCCACCTCAGACATTGAACCAGATTTCCGTGCACTTGTTCAAGCCCAAGACAGACTGGATTTTTCTCACTGAACAAGTAAAATTAACTGAAAAACAAAAGTCAAAAGCACTCATTTCTTTTTGTATAAAGCTGATTAATTTCTTATCTTTAACATACTGTAAAACACCTTTTCAGTATTGGTATATTGAGCAGAATTAAGTTCAACTTATTTTTGATTCGGCCCCCCAACACAGCTCGAGTTTCTGAAGTGGCCCCTTGTAAAAAATAATTGCCCACCCCTGGGCTTGACTGTGAGCTGTAGGGTTGCCGGTTCAAGTCCCCGACCAGACCTAAATATGGAGTTTGGACTGCTACTTGGAGAGGTCCCAGTTCACCTCCTGCCCTGCCATGGTGCCCTTGAGCAAGGCACCGGACACCCCCCTTCCCCCCCTACTCCCATTGCTCCCCGGGCGCTGTACAGTAGCTGCCCACTGCTCCTAGTACCTGGGCCGTTCTCATTTCATCAAATCCCCCTCCTCGACCCCTCGACTACTCGGTCCTCCGGTAGTGACCCGGAAATGAATTTTAGCGCGCCATGTTGAAGGACATCTAATTTCTCGAAATGCACATCGAGGACCGAGCATCGAGCGTCGAGGAGGCTCTCTGGAGGAGCTATAACCGAGGATACACTGATGGGTCCTCCACGGCTCCTTCGTGGATGCATTTCCGGGAACAGAGATGTTTCAAAGAGTCGTGACTCACAGCCGGACTTATCTCAGCCAATGACAGCTCTGCATGCATCCCCTGGATATTATTTTATTAACTGCTTTCATCGCGACGCGATGTTTACAGTGAGAACAGCTGTGAGGTCCGTGCAGAAAGCAGAGCAGTGTGTATAATATATATCACTCAGTATAACAGGCCTACTCTCTTTATTTGCTTTAGTTGAGCAGATATCTACAAACAAAGAGTCGATATTTTTCTAAAACCATTTAGTGCTTCACATAATAAAATACACAACGGCTGTAGCCTGATGATATGCTTTAGGAGCTGTAGGTGCGTGTGTGTGGTGTAGTAGGTGTGTGTGG